GACGTAGCACAGCCACTTTACCTACCTTTGCTTACACAGGCAACAGCCCCAGGATTGCACACGCCACACTGCCACTCTTTTTTTAACTTAGCACGAGAAACCTGTATGATTACATCCTTGCTTACAAGAGTAGAAGCCCAAGGATTGCAGACGTTGCGCTGCCACTCTCTCTATTTTGATACGAGACAGCCAAGCTGAGCACAGCCAGTCCCCACACAGAATCCTCCCTCCATCCTCCTGCCCATCATTTCTATGTTATTTCCCCTTTTTGGCTCCTCTTCCGTACTGGGGTAGAGGCACAGGCTGCTCGTACACTGGCCAGCCGATACCGCTCGAGCCAGCCAAGCATGCACAGCTAGCTCGAAAACAAGTGTACTTGGGGTGGGCATGTGACATAGGAGGGACGCCACGCCTTGCTCACAAAGGGAAGCAGCCCAAGGATTGCTGACGCTGCACTGCCTATTCGATTTTAATATAAAACAGAGGCAGCACGTACCACTAAGTTTTAAGGGCCTACTGCCATTCAGGTGAAGGTGGGGGGCTTTTCTTACCAAGGTACAAGCTGCCCTCACCTTGTGGGCGCCTACTCTTCCTGCTATACTCGTCGCCGCCTTTACTTCTACCCTTTCACGCGGCGCCTGCCCGGTACTTTGCGAACCGGGTCGTCTACATGTTTGTCCACTCAAGAACACTACAGGCTAAATCCTTAAGCCGGGCTAACGTGAAAGGAAGAGGAGGAGGAGGAGGAGAAGGAGGAGGAGGAGGAGGAGGAGGAGGGAGGAGAGAGGAGGGAGGAGGAGGAGGAGGAGGCGAAGGAAATGATGATGCTGCTGCTGATGACTAGGATAACGGTTATGATGCCGATGATGATGACGACGATGCAGCTGCTGATGATGATGATGCCGATAGCAACGATGATGATGACGATGATGTGAATGATGATGAAGCTGATGATGACGATGATCATTGTGCTGATGCTGCTGATGATGAGTATGAGTAGTATGATGATGACGATGATGATGATGATGATGATGATGATGATGATGATGATGATGATGAGGAGGAGGAGGAGGAGGAGGAAAGGAATGAGGAGGAGGAGGGAAGAGGAGGGAGAAGGAAGAGAAGGAGGAGGAGGCAACTCGAAGGAGGAGGGATGATGAGGAGGAGGAGGAGGAGGAAGAGTTGGAGGGACGAGGAGGAGGAGGAGGAGGAGGAGGAGGAGGAGGAGGAGGAGGAGGAGGAGGAGGAGGAGGAGGAGGAGGGTGGGGGGGGGCGGGAACGAGAAGGCTGAGGAGAAGGGGCAGGGCTTTGATCCAGGCCGGTGGTCCTCCTCCGCCTCGGCGCGGGCCGCCGCCTCCAGGGGGCACAGCAGAGCAGCGGAGCTCCCACCACAGGCATAGGCTCATGTCGGGCCTGTCCCCCTACAGGGGCATTTTCGACGAAAAATAAAGAATACCCCTAACATTATTAAAAATAACCCCAAAATATTCCATGGACTATTTTTTGAGTATTGTTTGACCTTTTTGGTGTATTTTTGCATTTTTGGTGTATTTTTCTTTTTCGTCGAAAATCCCCCTGTAGGGGGACAGGCCCGACTTAAGCACAGGCGTCCGAGGCTCCCCAATCGCTCGAATTGTGGGACCCTCCACCCTGGCACAGCCGAGCCCATGATCAAGAAGTTATCTAACCAGCCTCGACCGTATCCCCATTCCTAAGATCAACAAGCCAAAAGTCGACGACAATCTTAGGGATGCGCCCTCAGAGACGGAGGGAATCCCTAAGATCGGCATCGAGATGAGGCGATGCCAATCATAGGGATAGGGATATGTTCCAGGCTGGTGACTATCATTCAAGAGACATGGGCCAACTGCCCTGCAGTGTCTTGGAGCAAGCACGGGCCACCTTCCGTTGTGAACGCTGGAGGGGCAAGCGCACTCCAGAAACTGGGCCCACGTTCCATCGCTTCTGGTCAGGACGCGCTCGAGAAGCTGGGCCAGATGTCTGGCAAGCTGGTGAAGAAACGCTGGCCCAGCTTTTCGGGAGGAGGTTTCTTAACCAGATGCTCGACCGTGATGAGATGTCAATGCCCACCCGATTCTTTTCCACCGCAGACACTCCGCCGGCAGCTACCATGCATGCGGTTGTCTCGGCAATGTCGTGGCCGATGTTGCCCCAGATCTGGACCCCTGGGCGTCCCCGGGCGAGGCCGCCAGTGGCCAGACAAGGGCCAAAGAAATCCACACGCCCTCCCCGAATGCACGTCATTGTTTTTGAAGCAGCCGTTCGCACTCGTGATAACATGTAAGCACCAACTGACAAACGGCCAACCAGTAGAAGAAGGACGCACGATAAGGATGCAAGGGCCTTGGAAGGCCACGTCGACAGTCTGCGAGCGGGGCGCGGCCAGCGAAAGCGGCCAAGGATGGGCCGAATGGGGAAGGCTACAAAGAGCAACCGTGGAAAGTCGCTCATCCTTAGTATGCGGGTTGAGTGCACACCAATCACATCCGAGGTCCGCGCGGGTTTCCTGGGTCGGCGCTGGAACCCCCTTCGCCCCGCGTGGGGAGCGCGCCGAAGGGGGCGCCAGAGGCGCCGCCAGGGGGGTCCAGCGCCGATGCAGGGAATCCGCGCGGACCTTCGACAGTTTTTGCTTACAGTCATGGCAGTGCCAAAAAGAAGGCTTAGTAAAGAACGAAGCCATTTGTTGGCGCTGACAGGGCCTGGGTGCACGCAGAGGTCTAAAGGCACAGCCACGGAATGACAACGAGCCCCCTCCGAACCCAAAACTGTCTTTACTTCAACATCTTGACTGTATGCTCTGTTCTGTTCTTCGACAACTGGATGAAGCACTGTTCGTGCTCCGCCCCATTTTCCCGAATCGGATACCTGCGCGCAAAGAGCGGCCCTGGGCAACAATGACTTGCAGTGCGCGACTGTATGGGGCCGCGGGGGGGGGGGGGGGAATCTCAGCGCGCAGGCGAAGGCTATGAAGGGCCCTGCGGGCCGCGCCAAAGGTCACTCCGGCATAGGGTTTTCGTAACACCCCCTTCTCATTCCTGCCCGCCTCTCGTCCGTCACGAGTGGTTTTGGTCGTCTGGAGTGACTTGAAATCACAGCTCGGGTCTCCCGCAAACGTTCGGGAAAATGCGGGCTCCCCTGGAACGCTCTCGGCGAGGAGCAGCTGCCGGAAGACACCCCGAGGCTGGAAAACCGTCTAGGACCGACGAAGATAGAGCACATATGACATTTCCATACCCAATAAGTTAGGAAATCCCCAAAACGCTTTCGACTAAGCGCAGTTCTCGGCGCATACCTCCGCATGCTTACATCTACCGTCGGGAACCTTTGCTCCGCGTGTCGCGGAGGCGGCCCCAGCGACACGTTATGCCCTGCAAGCGGATAGCGATTCGCTCCGCTTGTGGGGCGGGCGGCGGGGAAGAGCTCGGGACGTGGCCATTTGGGAACTGCCAGCGTTTTCGGGGGGAAGGAACGCCCAGATACAACGCCTAGAAGACGACGCCAGGGCGCCCCTCGCGCCCCCAACATCAATGTTCGTCAAGGGAACACCGCGGTTTGCAAACGTGGGCGTTTTTTTTGGGAGCGAAACGACTCGCACCCCCCCCACGACGACCGCCCCGAACTTTAAAATTGGGGCTGGGGGGGTAGACCCGCCACAACGCGCACTCGAAATGGGCGTTCCCCCCCCCCCCCCCCGAAAACAACGGTGGGACGTGGCCAGCGCGCCTCGGGGGTGGACCCCATGTGGCAAAGCTCTTTTTGGAGATCGCTGCCAGGGGCACCCCGGGCGCGCACAGCACTGCGTTCCCGAGTGGACCCCAGCGTGGTAGCTTTAGGCCGGGCATGTCCCCCTGCATGCGGATTTGGGACGAAAAACAAGACATACATCCCCGTGGAAAAAGTTCATTAAAAAGTAGCGCAAGGATGGAAACCGAAAGAATGTTGAATCAGACCAGGCGGAAACCGTCACATCCAATGACATCCGCCTGTCCTTGTTACGGAAAAACGTCTCGCCTGCATTGCGCGTTGCACGTTAGCCATACGACTGGTGGGAACGAAACCGCAAGGCAAAACGTGGAACCGCCCACGCCAGCGGCCCTGTGAAGGATTAACTTGCAAGAGCACCCAGGTATTAAGTGGCGTCCGCCTCCAAATGTTGCCACTGGGCGCGTAAGCCAAAGTGTGGCGCATCAATGACCTGGCCCATGGCGCACGCCTGCGCACGCTGCCAACATTGAAAAGCGAATATAACTTAATGATCCTCTTTGGGTGCTACCGTCTGCAGATCATTCACGATGAACGTGTTGTTGTTGTTGTTGTTGTTGTTGTTGTTTTGTTCTAATTTTCTCCCGGCTGTGTACCCCAATAATGCCCCAAAATAGCCAAAACATGCTCGAACATCGTCCCCCGACGATTTCTGGCTTATGTTTTGAACACTCCTCCTGTAGAGGGACACGCCCAACTGGAGGGTAGCTGATCGACGCCCCAACGCAGAGTCCCCCAGCCGCCTTGAGTGGTCAGGCGTTCTGTCAGTGCCCGAGCGCCGCGCGAAAGCGGGGCGGGCCAGAGCCTTCGGTGCGCGCGACACGCGGGGCCAAAGTTCCTGGCCGTGTGGAATCTGGAGCTTCGAACTCTGCGACACTGGTCGTGCACAAGCACGGAGCTAGTCTGAATGAAGAGATCCGCCTGTCGAAGGGGTCCTTGCCCTGCCAGGTCGGCTGCACGTAAGGATGACCCTGGGCACGAGCGGTTCTTGTTGCGCGGCTTTCGGGGGGCCGCAGCGGGGGGGGGGGGGGGGGGGCAAAACCCAGGCACCCGAGCGCGCCAGACGCAGCTGTCGCATCGCATTGGACGATCGGGGGGCCCCCCGAAAGGGCCCGCACCCCGGGGCCGCCCTGGCGAGAGGCCGCTCCCACGCGCGGCCCACCGCCGAAGGGGGCCCTTGCCCCGCCGAGGCCGCGAGAGCGCCGACCGCGGGCCCGTCATCCTTGCCCGCACGCCTCCTGCCGCCGCGACTCGTCCGCCAGGCCGCGGAGGCGCGCATGCAGCGCCTGCGTCTCGGCCGGCCACCGGCGCCCCGCGCAGCGGCCCAGCATGCAGGGGCCCCTCCGGCTCTCCTGCGGGGCCGGCCGGCCCGAGGGAGCACACATCCCTGCTGCTGCCCCTCCTCCTCCTCCTCCTCCTCCTCCTCCTCCTCCTCCTCCTCCTCCTCCTCCTCCTCCTCCTCCCCTCTCCTCCTCCGTCTCCTCCTCCTCCTCCTCCTCCTCCTCCTCCTCCTCCTCCTCCTCCTCTGGCTCATCCGCCACCTCCTCCCCCTCCAGTTACACAGCTCCCACTTGCGCTGACGCCCTGCACGATGGTGTCCTCTTCATGTCCAATGTGGCACCCGTCGGCGGATCCAGACGAGTCAGCGCAATGGGAATGGGTGGGCGGGATGGGGCAGGATGTCAGATATGGCCCTAGCGCACCTCGCCTGCCTCCCCTCCTCCCTCCGTCACGCAGCACCCATCAACGGCCAGACGTCAGCCAGAGGATGACCGCGAGACGGCCCCCATCGCCAACACCAGCGTGCCGCAGCAGCGGGCCAATCACTTTGCCCCTTCTGTCCATCAGATCCAGGAGCCATCTGCCCCTCCCTTGTTTTTGACACGTGCCACAGAACACAACGCTGCCTGTGACGGCCTCCAGCAGGCTTTCCGACGTGCCGCTTCTCTTGGAGCCTCCCTCCAAGAAAATCCCCAGGCACACCTTGCCGCTCAACGCGCGGCACACCAGTGCGCGCACCTGCTCTCCAATGGGCTCAGCGAACAGCTGGCACATGTTCCGTTGCCCTGTCGTCGGGCCGCTGCGGGGGATGCCCCATGGTGGCACCGTCACTGTCACGGCGCCGCATCACGCACCCCGAAGCGCGTGTGCAACCGGCGCCTCTCTGTCCGCGGGCGTGCAAAAAGGGTTGGATCTTGCCCTCTTCACCGCTTCCCGCTTTCTGCTTTCCCGTCGGGGTCCCCACAGACCGTGCGCTGGGGGGAGGGCAACCTCCCCACTCCTCCTCGGTACGAGCGGCACCTCCCGTCTCATGAGGTGGGCGCGGCAGGGGCCTGCTCCCACTCGCTCGGACGGACCTTCCGCCCGAACTGTTGCGATTGCCTTTTCCATCCCCCTCCTCCTCCTCCTCCTCCTCCTCCTCCTCCTCCTCCTCCTCCTCCGCCTCGGCCCTCATCCCTCACCCTCTTGCTCCTGCTCATCCTCTGGCTCATCCGCCACCTCCTCCCCCTCCAGTTACACAGCTCCCACTTGCGCTGACGCCCTGCACGATGGTGTCCTCTTCACGTCCGCTGTGACACCCGTCGGCGGATCCAGACGAGTCAGCGCAATGGGAAGGGGTGGGCGGGATGGGGCAGGATGTCAGATATGGCCCTAGCGCACCTCGCCTGCCTCCCCTCCTCCCTCCGTCACGCAGCACCCATCAACGGCCAGACGTCAGCCAGAGGATGACCGCGAGACGGCCCCCATTGCCAACACCAGCGTGCCGCAGCAGCGGGCCAATCACTTTGCCCCTTCTGTCCATCAGATCCAGGAGCCATCTGCCCCTCCCTTGTTTTTGACACGTGCCACAGAGCACACCGCTGCCTGTGACGGCCTCCAGCAAGCTTTCCGACCTGCCGCTTCTCTTGGAGCCTCCCTCCAAGAAAATCCCCAGGCACACCTTGCCGCTCAACGCGCGGCACACCAGTGCGCGCGCACCTGCTCTCCAATGGGCTCAGCGAACAGCTGGCACATGTTCCGTTGCCCTGTCGTCGGGCCGCTGCGGGGGATGCCCCATGGTGGCACCGTCACTGTCACGGCGCCGCAACACGCACCCCGAAGCGCGTGTGCAACCGGCGCCTCTCTGTCCGCGGGCGTGCAAAAAGGGTTGGATCTTGCCCTCTTCACCGCTTCCCGCTTTCTGCTTTCCCGTCGGGGTCCCCACAGACCGTGCGAGGGGGGAGGGCAGCCTCCCCACTCCTCCTCGGTACGCGAGCGGCACCTCCCGTCTCATGAGGTGGGCGCGGCAGGGGCCTGCTCCCACTCGCTCGGACGGACCTTCCGCCCGAACTGTTGCGATCGCCTTTTCCATCCCCCTCCTCCTCCTCCTCCTCCTCCTCCTCCTCCTCCGCCTCGGCCCTCATCCCTCACCCTCTTGCTCCTGCTCATCCTCTGCCTCATCCGCCACCTCCTCCCCTCCAGTTACGCAGCTCCCACTTGCGCTGACGCCCTGCACGATGGTGTCCTCTTCACGTCCGCTGTGACACCCGTCGGCGGATCCAGACGAGTCAGCGCAATGGGAACGGGTAGGCGGGATGGGGCAGGATGTCAGATATGGCCCTAGCGCACCTCGCCTGCCTCCCCTCCTCCCTCCGTCACGCAGCACCCATCAACGGCCAAACGTTAGCCAGAGGATGACCGCGAGACGGCCCCCATCGCCAACACCAGCGTGCCGCAGCAGCGGGCCAATCACTTTGCCCCTTCTGTCCATCAGATCCAGGAGCCATCTGCCCCTCCCTTGTTTTTGACACGTGCCACAGAGCACACCGCTGCCTGTGACGGCCTCCAGCAGGCTTTCCGACCTGCCGCTTCTCTTGGAGCCTCCCTCCAAGAAAATCCCCAGGCACACCTTGCCGCTCAACGCGCGGCACACCAGTGCGCGCGCACCTGCTCTCCAATGGGCTCAGCGAACAGCTGGCACATGTTCCGTTGCCCTGTCGTCGGGCCGCTGCGGGGGATGCCCCATGGTGGCACCGTCACTGTCACGGCGCCGCATCACGCACCCCGAAGCGCGTGTGCAACCGGCGCCTCTCTGTCCGCGGGCGTGCAAAAAAGGTTGGATCTTGCCCTCTTCACCACTTCCCGCTTTCTGCTTTCCCGTCGGGGTCCCCACAGACCGTGCGAGGGGGGAGGGCAGCCTCCCCACTCCTCCTCGGTACGAGCGGCACCTCCCGTCTCATGAGGTGGGCGCGGCAGGGGCCTGCTCCCACTCGCTCGGACGGACCTTCCGCCCGAACTGTTGCGATCGCCTTTTCCATCCCCCTCCTCCTCCTCCTCCTCCTCCTCCTCCTCGTCCTCCTCGTCCTCCTCCCTTCTCCTCCCCCCTCGCCCACCCCGTTTCTCCAGAGCCTGGGGCTTCGCTTCTCCCCCTCCCCCAAGGCCGGACAGCTTCGCACCAATACATCGGCTCGAACCAGAAGACGCGTCGGATCGGCTTGCATCGGCACGGAGTCGAGATCGAGTCGGACCGGCTGCGCCAAGGTGCACGACAGCGCCACGCAAGCATCGGGCTGCAACAAACCGTCGAGATATCGGAATCGAACCTGTCGGGTCGAAGTGGGACCTGATCTGTGGGCTCCAGCGGTCTCGACCCCTTCCCGCGGGTAGCTGGAGGCCGAGAGAGAGAGAGAGAGAAAGAGAGAAGAACGACCGCGAGTGTCGAGAAACCCCGTCCGCCCGAGAAGCCTGGGCTCCCGGAGCTCCTGCTCCATCCAGCGCAGGACGGCGGCCCTCTCCCTCCTGGACAGCTCCTCCTCGCGGTGGCTCCAAGATGGGGCCCTGAGGGATGGGGCCTTGAGGACGAGGTGCCTCAAAGAATGCCAAAGCCACCCTGTGGTGGAGGAAGAAAAGTGGCATGCGCAAAAACTCGGAGTGTCCGCGCGGACTTCTTGGATCTGCGCTGAGCCCCCTTCCCTGGCGCGCGGAGCGCGCCAGGGGCGGAGCCAAAAAGGCGCCGCCAGAGGGGCCCAGCGCCGATCCAAGGAATCCGCGCGGAGCGCCGACACTTTATGCTCATGCCGATCTTTCTTGGTCGATTCCTGCAGTCAGACCTAGGCCAGAAGAACATCCCTCAAGAACATGAGGCCCTCCGCCAGCCAAAACGCACAGAGCATCCCAGGGTACCCTCCCCAGGGTGCACAACAGCATCCACCAGTCACGAAGAACACATGGGCAACCTCCCCGAATCGACCTCGATCGTGTACCTCGGTCCGACCGTATCCACCGCCTGCCGAGGTTCCCGAAGATCGATCCCTCAGGCGGTGGTTGTGGATACTGCGAGTTTCTTGATAGGCGTCGGGGGGGCGTCACCCCCGCCGACAGCACCACATGGACCCCCGTCGCGGGCAGCCGCCGCGTGCCGAAGGCGCTCCGACCCCGGCCGCGGCGCGACGACGAGGCGAGGCTGACCCCCGTCGGGGGGCACCCCCCACGCTTATGAAGAGACCCAGAGTACGTACTTGAGCAGGGACCGACCGTCCCTGCATTCCTATAGGCCGACCACGAAATGTTCGTAGAACCCAAATATGTTCCAATAACAAAACCAATGTTCTTAGAACATAAAGCCCGATGTGTGAACAAAAAGACAGTCCCAGCGGACATGTTCTAGGAACGTTTCTTGGAAGCCACACCAAATTCCGAGAACATTCTTGGATGGGCCTATAGGCGAGCCGGGACGCTCCGCCACTGCTTGACGTACATCCCCCCCGCGCCTCGGGCCATCCCTCAGAGCCCCCTCTTTTTTTGGACGCTCGAAATGGGTACGGAAAGAATGGGCACTACACCCTGCGAAATGCTTAAGAAATCATGGGTTAAGAAATTCATAGTCTCAGAATTTGAATAAAAAACCAAGTTACTACTAGCTTGGTAGGATTTACATTGAAACAATAAGAATAATCGAGACTCTGGCCGAAACCTTCCGTTTTCTTCAGCATCGCCTAGGGTGTATGCCCAACAACAAACGTTGTCCCAAGCCAACAGCGGCCGCCGCTGGGCAGGCGGCCGGACAGCGAGCCCTGCTCAAGATGAGCAGGAGCTGCTGCTCGGCTCTGCACCCATGCTTTCCGCACCCATTCCCAGGCGGCGAGCCAGGGGGCGGACGTGAGAAGGGGCCTACCCTCTCAGAAGGCTGGGAAGTCACCCCCGGACGTCTGAGAAGTCTTCTGAGCCTTCCCCGAAGACAGAACAACAAACTCCTCAGACAGGCTCGAGGGCTTCTGAGAGGTCCCGCCGCCTTCTGAGAAGGCCTTCTCCTTCTCAATTCCCCCCCTCGCTCGCCGCCGAGTTCCGTTCTCGGGAGCGGCCAAGAGGGGGGTGTCCAAGAGGGGAGGGTGCAAATCATGACCGGCGGCATGTGCGCGGCCCAGCGGGGGGGCCAGGGACGTAACGAAACAAGAAGAGGCGCCACGAAATCTGTGGAAATATCCTGGCCCCCGCCCTGATATCCACCCCCCCCCCCTAGTCATCACCCCCCTCTTTTCCGCCCCCGACGTTCGTGCAGACCTCTGCACCGCCGGTCCTCGGCGCTCTGGAGGGCCCGCTCCGCCTGGAGGCAGGCGCCCAGCGCCGCCTGCGCCTCCCGCCTGGGCAGCAATGAAGCGCACGGCGGGGGGCGGCCTCCCGTAGTACGCTCTCAGGGAGTGTCGTTGAGGCGCTGCCCCTGCCCAGCGGCGCGGCCGTGCCCCCCCTGGATGGGGATACGGGCCGTTCCCTTCGGGCTTCGAGGGGCGTATGCCCAACTGGGGTGGTGATTCGGTGGGGGTCTCGGAGGGGATGGAGATGGGGATGGGGATTGGTTGGACGATACCGACTTGAGTCGGGCCTGTCCCTCAACAGGAGGAGTATTCCAAAGCAGTCAAACATACTCTTGGGACGATTTTGTTGACCATAACTTGTTACCATGTTTTGAATATTTTCTTGACTATGTTTTATCTATCGTCCAAAACCCGCCTGCAGGGGCACACGCCCGACCTTACCCTACGCGACTGGCCCCAGGCCGCGGTGGGCCCCCCTGGCCAGGGCCCCGTGGGCGTGGGCTTCTCTTGCCATCGCTCGGACGTCCATTCCCCGTGCGTGTCGGCGTCGTGCGTTTCGAGTTTTCGCAGATGACCATCGAGGGTCATCGCCGAGAAGACATGAGCACGTCCGGACGATGCTGAGCTCTTGCGGGGCGCAGAAGAACCCAACGCGGCTGCACGCAAGAGTGGCCCCAGGCACAAGTCTTCCTTCACGAAGGCAATCACGTCATGGTGGTGTTAGCTCGCGCGCTTGCCGTTCGCATCACGGGCCGAGTGAGGAGAGATCGCGATGCAGATCCGCAAGAGGTGAGGACGACAGGGTAGGGTCGAGAGTCAGCTCACGTAGCTCGTTTTCATGGCGCCTCCTGGCGCCGGGAGGTGCCAATGTATCGAGGAATGGGCCCGGCGGCGGGGCCGAAACCAGCTGCATGTAGCAGATGTCGTACCCCCACTTTCCCTGTCCACCCTTTCGTCCAGCCCAAGTCTTGTGGGATGCAGAAGGACATACCTTGTCTGCACGCGAGGGTGACCCCAGGCAAGAGTGACCTCAAGCAAGAGCGACCTCTGGTGCGTGGCTTTCGGGTGCCGCGGGGAGGCCGAACCGGAGCGCGCACGCCGCTGCTGTCGCACCGCCTTCAGCCGTCTGGAGGCCCCGGTGTGCCCGCACCACAGGTCACTCTAGCGAAAGGTCACTCTTACGTGTAGCCGAATACCAATACTGTGAGTCCTCCGTGGGGGCGTGCCCCCAGCCGAACATGTAGCACGAACATCTTGTAGCATGCCGTTTCCCCGAGCAGCATGGCCAGGAAACGCCCACCACAGAGCTTGTACTATAAGATTCCTCATCGAGCACGTCGCCCCTGGGGAGGGGGAAAAGACGACGCACATATTCCTCTTCCTATATTTTTATAAGCCCGGGCGGGGGGAAAACCCGTCCCCCCCCCCCCCCCAAAACCGGACTCCCGGGATCTGGGGCTTTGGAACCCTCCGGACGGGCCTCGAAGCGGCCCCCCGGGCCTTGCAGGGCGTTTTGACAAGCCTTCGCGGCACACCTGGGGCGATCAGGGGGGTCATCGGAGACGTCCCAGAGACCCCCAAGACAGCACAAGAGCGCTCCAAGAGTGACCGACGTGACCTCAAGATGGTCCAAGAGGCCTCCAGGACGGCCCCAAAGAGGCCTCCAAGAGCACTCCCAAGAAGGCCGCAAGAGGCAAAACTCCTTAGTTTTCTGTGGGTTTTTGGTAAAATTTGGGGTTCTCCTCTTTTCGGCTTCCCGACGCTCCAAGACGGCGGTCTTCTGGGCGTCCGAAGCCGCCTGGGAGGCACCAAAATCGCCCCACAAACATCCGAAAGGGCTTCCAGGCAGTCCGAGAGAGCCCCAAAACGGCACAGCACGGGTCCAAGATGGCCCTCAGAGAGCCCCATGGCGGCCCAAGATGGCCCCAAGACACCCTCCGAAGCATTCCAAATCGTGACCCGGTCGTTCAGGGAGACCGCGGTTGGAGGCAGGGTGGCCCGAGGAAGCCCCCAGAGGCCCCCAGAATACACCCAGGAGGCCTCCAGAAAGCATTAAGAAAGCCTGAAACAACTTTTGTGAGGCCCCCAGAGGCTCTCCAAGGAGGAGCCTCCGCAATAAAGAGCTGAGGAGGATGGGGAGAATGCGCAGGGTATGGCGAAAATAAGGAAAAAGAAGCATGGAGGAAGGATAACGAATCACACTATTATAGCGGGGATGCCGGAAAAGGCAACAAGGAGTTATCGCTAAATTGTCGGCTTGACCTTCCTGCAATTCCGCCTGCATACCACACTTCAAGGACCAAGGTGCATGGCGCGAAGCGCCACTGCAGTCTTATATATATATATATATATATATATATATTATATATGTTTGATGCCAATTTCGGTATGCCAGCAGGGCGGCGCACGGGCGAGAACCCTTAGCCGTGGCCCGAGGCATTCCCCAATCTTCGTTCTCTCCCGCAGGATCTGACAAGTCGTGGCTTGCAGAATCCTGGCTTAAAGGGGCCCCGGCCTTGCCCTCAAGGCTCGGCCCGCCCCCGTCTTGGAGCGAGGCGAGGGGGTCGTGACGGAAGGGGTCCGTGTGCTGGGGGCCGGTCCAGGCCGCCCCTACGGAGTCACGGGCGACAAACGTATCTACAACCGTGCCCTCGCGGTGCCCAGATGCCGAGGCGCAACGCCACGGACACGTTCCGCGCGGGGCATCCGCGCAGCGCCGCGCCCTGCGCCTGCGGGGCCGCGGTCCCGCAGAGTCCAGACCGCGATGATGTGGACATGGAGGTGCTCCCCGTACTGCGAACCCCCGCACTGCGAACTCTTCCCCGCCCGCGACATCCGCAGGGCCGGCTCTGCACCCCGAGTTGACTTCTGACGGTCCCGGGGCTCGGGGAGAGTAAAACGGGGCTAGGATCGGGATAAATCGCTCCAGAGCGTTCCGGAGCGCTCTCAGAGCGTTCCGGAACGCTCTGGAGCGGCCGCGGCGCCCAATACATCCTCCAAACCCGCCGATTCTCAGAGATTTCGAGTTATGGACGGAAAGGCCCGGCTCGGGTGTGGGGCGGCTCTGACCCCATGGAGGGAAATCTGCAGATGGCCGCATGCCGTTGCCAAACCGAGCCCCTCCCCCATGCCTTCAGGGCGGGATGAGACAATCGGTCTCTGGCTGGCCCCCTCCTGGGGTCCCCATTTTCCAAGCGGCTTCCAGCCGTGGCGATGAGGGCCGCCCCCCCCGAAGGCCAGCTGCCGCTGTCTCAAGTTGGCCCTCCTCTGAGAACCGACGAAAGCGTCCAAAGACCTGTCCCGACCCACTGCCACTCTTGGTGCAGCCCCACGCCAGGCCTCGCGCTCTCCTCGCTGTCCCTGTGCTCCGCCGTCCTCTCCTCGAGGAGCCTGCACCTCTTGGGAGGGCGACAGTCGAGCAGATGCAGTCGGGTCGCTGCTGCGAGAGCGTGCCCTCGTATCTGTACGACGCCACAAGACATGTGACGGCGGATGTTCGTTGTTTTCGGCCTCCAGAGGCCGTCTCCCAGTCCTGGGACCGTCAACAGAACGACTCAGGATGACAAGCCGACCCCAGGCAAAG